CTGGGCTGCAGCCATGGCAGCAGCAGCAGCGAGGAGGAAGGCAGCAGGAGCAGAGGGGCACTGAGCCCCTGCCTGCCCCCCTGCCCGCCCCCCTGCCTGCATCAGGGATTTTGTGGGTTTCCCTCGAGACACAGAGAACACGAGAGGTTTTACACGAGGTCACAGGGCCCGGGCTGGGCTTGGAGTGCTCTTCAATTCCTTCTGCACTCCCTGAGCTAATGGAAGGATTTGTTGTGGGTGCTCAGACACCCACGTAACAAGAGGTCACAGGAAGCCGGGCAAGGATGCTGTGGAACAAAGCTACTCTAGCTAGATGAGAGCAGACTGAGGTGCACTGCTCCTTCCCAAAAACCATCTGCTGGCTTTGCAAGCAGCCACCTGCATCCCACTGGTGAAAAAAAAATTCCCCTTTCCCCTTTGGTGCCTGTGTGGGCACAAAACTCCAAGAGGCAAAACCTCTATCACCAACTCGAATGCAAACACAAAGCCCCTCACAGACCCACTGGGTTTAGATTTGAGCCCGGTACAACTTTCCCAGTGTGCTAAGTCTGCCAGACCTGAGCCCTGGCTTGTTTCCTCCACTGGCACCAGGTCTAGACAGACAGACAGACAGACAGGCAAGGGGAGGCAGGTCCTGCTGTGCATCTGCTCAATGGGACCAGGGGCTCATGCACTGCTCTGCCTGGTGCTAAAGGGATAAGGGGGGCAGGACAGTCCCTGTACCCCCAAAAAGTGCCCCTCTCATGGCTAGGGAGCAGTTCAGGAGCTTCAGGTGTATTACGATTGTGGAGAACTGGCTCCATACCCAGACCTGAGGAATAACTTTGCTTCAAGTGCCTGCCTCTCTTTCCTGTGTCACTGGGCAGGGACGTTCCTCTCACAACAACGTCCCACATCCAAATTAAAAGTCCCCTGATTTGGTTTATGGGTTCCAGGTGTTCACTAAGAACAACACTGGATGAGAGTCTCCCTCCATGGGATACATGCCTAAAAAACGTGCTCCTGTCTGCTCCTGGTGTGACAAATTTCATTCCACGGAACATGGTAATTTTTCTCTCTGCATTTCAAGCAGACAATCTAGGTGACAGAACATCTGTACTTCATTCAAGCCCTCTGCGTCACCCAGCGTTTTCCTGGTATTTAGCTATTGTTTTCTTTCTTTCTTCTTTCTTTTTTTAAACAAACAAACCCTGCGAAGGCTCCCACGGGGCAGAGCACACACGTTGCAATACCAGCCCCAGTGAAAGAAATGGGGTTGGTTTTGCTAAGGCCTGGTATGTTCTGAGGAAAACCCAAAGCCTGGAGCTTTCCCAATTTCAGGACAGCACAGAAGGAAATGCCTGGGCTGGTCTCATTTGTGCTGCAAGAGGCAGAGGACGCTGCCTCACAGTCCCACATCACAATTGTCCCTTGTTTCCCAGAGAACAAGACTCTTCACAAACGCTGAACTGTTTTACAGCAGGGCTTAAGAGTCCAAATCCCAAGTCTCTGCTGCCTTACTGCAGCCTCTGGGTTAAATCCTGCACCCCTCACTTAGTCACAAATTCAGCCAGAGCTTTCCACCGTGAAACCTCAGCAAACAGCCACAGCCCTGCTCAGAAGCACTGAGTTCCACGAGCACCTGCAGCCTGGGGACTCACAGATGCCTTGGGCTGCTGCGGAGCCACCAGCTCCCCTGCGTCGCACCCAGCGCCGGGAGGAAGGGACCAGCGGCTGCACAGCTGGACAGGCTCAAGGAAAAGCTGTTCTGCTTCAGGTCAGCACAGCAGCACGCCCAGCTCCCTGGAACATGTGCAGCCAGATTATGCACTGCTAGTCACGTACTCCGAACCCATGTGGGAACTAATGGTTCAGCCCCCTCTTCACGTGCCCCTTCAAAGGGTCTGTGCGCCCACACCACCTCACACCCAGTCCTTCCCCCTTGCACTTCACAACTGCTCCCTGACCTATAAACTGCAGAACACCCCTGGGAGCCAGGAGTGCCTTCCTCACCCTGCCCATCCCAGCTGCTTTGCACACCTCGTCCCCCTTTCCGTGCCGACTCCTCCTCTCCAAGTGGAAGGAGCTGATTTTGCCCTTGTGCTGCGTCCCTTCCAAGCGATCCCAGCCCTGGAAGGGGCCTCCATCAGATCTGCTGCTCACAAACCTGCTGAGCCACCGGGAGGGGAAGAGGGGTGAGGCAGCAGCCAGACGGAGTCTCCGCACGTTTGTGAGGAGCCCAGAGGCTAACAATAGCAGCAACCACCACTGAGAAGCCTATAAATAAATCCAGATTCCTCTTGTTTTTGCTCTCCCCCTGGCACTGACCCACCTTCCACCCGAAGCTGGGGAGCAGCCCCTGCCCTGCTCCTACCTGCCAGGGACATGACTGCGCTCCCACCCCCCGCCACCAGAACCTGTGCAAACACAGAAACCCTCGCAGGGTCCCCAGCCTTGGCCTTGCACACCCTGTCAGCTATAATTACAGCTGAGCCCTCCAAAGCTGCCGTCAATCACCCCTCTCCTGCCCTCTCCCCCACCCCCTCTGCCTGCTTCTGGGCTAAAAATAGCACGTTCCAGTACAGCCCTTCACCTTGTGCCAAGCACTCGCTCCCTGTCCATGGCACAGATGCTCTTTTTCCCCCCCTGCCTCTCCCTGCAGCAGCTGAACACACAGGAGGAGTAAATCCTCCCCCTGCGCTCGTGCCCCGTCGGCAGCAGGAGATTTACAGGCTCGGTGTCGCTGGAAATGAGGTTTGCCTTGTTTGCCCATGGATCAGGTACAGGCTGGGCACCCTGCCCAAACACGTGATGGACACGGTGGGCAGCGTTTCAACCTGGGTACTGCGGGGTAACCTCTGTCAATACAGAGGGACGTGGCTTCCCTGCCCGCAGCACTCATGCACTCTCAGCTGGGCGTGCCAGGAGGGTGTCAAGCAGGGTTCACTGATGGCAGTGCTGCTTTTGGAAGCCTGGATGCCCTTGTCCCCTGGAGACTGGGCTGAGGTTCATCAGGCTTAGGCCACAGAAGCCACTGAGTGTCACTGGGCTGTCTCTGGATGTGGGTCACTGCCATGCAAAATCATTTACTCATTGGGAAGGTGCCCACTGCAACAAGCCAAAAAAGAAGGCAAGAGCCAGACACCTCTGGCAAAACGTAACAGATTTGTGCTGCCATTTGGAGGGGTTTACACCAATTTGGTTTACACAACAAAGTCAATTCAGCTTTTGACTGCAGTGGAATATATCCAGAGGTCACTTGGGAGAGATCCTTAGGTACAGATCCTTCCACACTGGAACCTGTGCCCCTGCCAGAGCCCAGGAGTCTGCTGGGATTCTGCCTTCCACCTTCACTGCTGCTTTTCCTTGAAATACAAGCATTGGTCACGTGAGGCAGCTGGTTAATGATGAACCCTGGTGTGCTGTTAACATGTCCTGTAACACCACAGCAGTTCTGGTGAATACATCTTAACCAGCCCAGTTAAATAAATTACTATAGGACCAGTCAAAGATAAACTGTTTTCAGAGGCAGACTCTGTGGCTAGTTAATCTGACTAAAACTACTACCTAGTTTATACTAATCACTGTTCTTGCCTACTATTAACGTGCCAGCCACAACACAATTACTAATCAGTACCTTTTTGTCCTTTAAAACTTGGACTGTGGGATCCAAGAACAATGACCTCCAGTTTATGTTCCTGAGTATGCTGCATTTAAGACAACAGCCTAAACTACTTCCACACAGATCAACCCAGCAGCTGGAAACACCAGCAGTGTCACTCTCAGAGTGAACCTGCCACAAGGTAGAAAGGGGAAAGTTGCACTTTTCCCAGGCATGTTGTACCAGGACCCTCTGGCATGATCTGAACATGCAAACTTGGCCTCTCACTCCCCAGGGCTGAGCTGCTCCGTTTGCAAACACATTTCCAGAGGCCGGTTTAAAATCGCAGCCACTGCTCACATCTCTGCCTGTGAAACTCCCTGCACAGGCAGGGCTCACCTGAGGAGCCCCTGCTGCCCTCTGGACCCACAGACTCTGCACAGATCTTACCTTCTTTGGCCTCTCGTGGTGGGACACGTGCTTCTCTTGGGCTGGGGATGTGGATCGACTCCTTCTTCCAGCGATGAAGGAGCCACCTCCAGAGTGACGTGAGGTCTTCTGAGGTGAGCAGGAGAGAGGAGGTGGAGAACAGGGGCAAAAAGAGAGGAAACAGTGTTATAGAGTCCAGCTTCCACTGATAACTGTGAGCAGTGCTACAGTGAATGGTTTGTCTACCACAGGCAGGACCAAATTCTGCTGGTGCCAGATGCCCAGCCTGGCTCCCAACCCCCAGCAGTGGCTTTACAAACAGCAGGTAGATCTGCTCCCCAGATCCTTGGCTCTTGGTGGCCCATGCACACTGCACTTGGAAGAAGCAAGGCCCAGCTGCTAAGAGACCATTCTGTAAACAAGAGAAATGGCAGCAGCAACGTTGCTTAGACCAGCCTGTCCTCCTGAAGAGCATCTCCAGCTTCCAGTCCAGAGTGGGGTGTGGAAGGACACCCTGTGCTGGGACTCAGGCACTGGCAGGATCCTCTGCCTGTCTCAGCAACAGGAAACTCAATCCAGAGCTGCCCTCCTGTCAGATCCTGAGGGTACCTGAAGGTGTCCTGCAGTTTGACTTTGAGGGGAAGCTGAAGGCATCAGTCACTGTGTGCAGCTCTGATAAGCAGGAAGGCAAGTGGGAAAGGCCAGCAACAAAGGAGCCACTGAGACAAAGCTGGAGTGAGAGGATCAAGTTTCGTTTTTGCTGGAGGGGGGAGAGCAGGTGTCTACTCATTATGCAGAACAGGAAAAGGGTTCCTCTCTTTCCTCTTGGTGCTGTAATTAACAGGGAGAAGCTCTTTGCCCCACGGATCCCTCAGTGAAGGACTCCATGTCTCTCCTGGGCTGTGTCCTCGGGCAGGAGTTGTGGCTGGTCTGTGTTACACCCTCCAGCCCAGGGTGCCTGAGCCAACCCCAGGACTCCCTGGAGCACCAAACATCACAGCAGCTCTCCCTCCTTGGGACTTCAGCTTTCAGCCAGCCCGAGTGGGCCAGGGAAGCCAAAACAGATGGGAAGAATTCAGCCTCTGGTTTTGAAAATGGGTTTAAAGATGCTTTGGAAATGCAAAATATAAACTGATCTTTATTCCTCAGTGACTGACTGAATGGTTGAGAAGGGAAGCAGCTTGCAGACCTTGTCTGTGTGTTTGTGGCATTTCTTACTGCTCTAAGCACACACAATGCAGAATGATGATGCCTTACATGTGACCAAGAAAAGCTCCATTGCAGGGATGAAGAAACTCACCATTTTATTGAAGTGGTATTTGCAGTAGCCACAATATTTGACATTGTCAACTTCCAGGACTTCCTCTTCACACAAAAGGCCAGCCATCTGGGCACTGAAATACATGCAATTAGGAGGCAGATAAAGCAAATTGTACAACCAGTACCTATCAGTACCTAACCAGTACCTAACCAGTATCCCATCAAAGGGAAAAGAATAGCTCAGGACACCCAGGAAGGGTCTTGAGGTTTCCTGTTCTGCTTGGCAAATGGTGAACAAGGAGGGGGGAAAAAGTTCAGACTATTTTTAATTCATATGAAGATCTTCGAAACTATTCATGCTTTTCTACCAGGTTGTCTTGTAATTTTTGTTTCTCTCAAGGAAGGTCTGGGAGACCAGTAACAATTCCAGCAAAAGACACATCATGAGCAAGGAACCCATGCAAAGCTGGGAATCTCCCTGCTCTGCTGAAGGGCAGTGTTGTTTTCAGGCTGTGAGGGTACACGAGGGTATCAGCCCTTAAAATCACATCATCTAGATGATACTCCTGCACGTGCTCTGCTGGAGAAGGAACATTCCTGGGTTGTGACTCATCTCTTCTCTTCTTGGATTCCACACAGTCTTAGGGAAATCCCCAGCCTGGTTCTCAGCAGGGAGGGCCAGTTGGTGAAACCTCAGCCTTCCTGGGGAAGTTCCCCTCACAGACTGAGCACGGACCAGAGACACCCCTTGCCCAAAATAAACCCAGGGTGATTAACCCAACTAATTTGGTGCAACCTCAAAGCATGGCAGGAAAACCAGTATCTGGGGCTACTCTTGGGGTGGTGCTGAGGGGAACTCACCAGGTGACATGGAAAGCCTGTCGGCAGCCGTGCCTGTTGCAGGCCATGCAGGCTCCAGAGGCTGCTTTGCTCTCCCTGCCCTGCTCTTCACAGATGTAGCAGGTCTAAAATAAACACAAACAATGAGAAGTGCTCACTCCCAGAGGCAAAATGCTTCGCTCTCACTGTTCACCAGGAGGAAAAGCCTTCCAGAACTCCTAGCTCTGTGTCCAGCCATCTCCCTCCTCTGACAACAGCTCTGGGTTAGTTCTCAGTGGCAGGCACAAAACTCACACAGCCTCTTTTTCTCCCCAGATAACAACTCCAGATGAAAAATGTGGAGTGAGCAACGTGCAACTCCAAGGTGGAGATTGCTCAAGTTGCAGGGAGTTGGGGAAGACAGAAATAGAGGACCCAAAAGTCCTTTGCAGGAATGGGGATTTACTATGTTAGTTGTTTTTAAAGGAACCCAAGTACCTGGAAATGAAAATAAATCAGACAGGAGATGTGGCAGAATAAGATGGAGCCCAAGGAGCCAAGGCAGGGCAAGGAGTGTTGGGGCAGCAGGAGGGGAGGTGGCCTTACCTTGTTGAAGCGGTCGTGGGGAACGTACTGCAGGACAATGGGCTCCATGGTGAGCACGTTGGCAAACTGCACCTCAGGGATGTACAGAGCACAGACAACATGGGCCCACCCTGGGGGCAAACAGAGACACAGAGGAGACTCATGAGGGGCAACCCAGGAGAGTCTTAGGGCTGCAGCAAGCATGGGAGGGAGAGGAGGAAGAGAGTGTAGGAAGGGAGCCAGCTGAAGTTAATGTTAGGTTTGAAATCCTGCTTGTTGGTTAGAAATCAGACCCTTTGTGGGTGAAACACAGATGGATTCCACCTCCAGGTTCAGGGGGTTCTTCAGGGAAAGAAATGTACATTCTTAAAAGCACCCTCTGAGGACTTGAGACCCGGAGCTGAAGGCCTAACCAAGCCCAGGGAAAGCATCCCAGCAGTAAATGATGCTGATGGGACAGGTTTGACGTGTAGTCCCACGGCCCTGGAAACAAAGCTCCCTTTATTGGCTGTTATCAACAGCTAAAGAAGGGTCTTTTTCATCCAGCCAAGTTAGATTAAAATCTAAATCCACCAAGACACTTCACAAATTAGATGTGTAAGTTGAAATTCCATCTGGTCAGGGCAGAATTAAGAAGGTCTGAAGGTCAGGAGCCTTTGGAGGCTGATCCATACTGGTGTGGCTTCTGCACTGGAAGGGTTTAGATAGAATTAGGATGGATTCACCAGGGTGTGTGGAGCCAAACTCCATGATGACAGAATCACACAGCACTGTAAGCACTTGGGCTGTACTGTTCTGTACAGTGAGGTGGTGGTAACACTTCTTGTGCCTGTCTACACAGCCCTGACCAAACCATGTAGTGACACGTTTGGAAGAAAATGTGATTACAAAACAATCCCCCAGCATGAAAGCTGTGCTATTGCACTAAGGCTCCGTGTGTGTCACGTGGCAGGTGGATACAGAAACCTTTCTGAAAAGTAAAGTTTTGAGAAAAATGAAGTCTGACCTATGCAGCCAGTAGCATCAATAGCTACAAGCTCTGACAACTGAAATCAGAGTTTACAGCATTTCACAGCACCAGAGGCTGAGAAGCATCAGTGATGAGTAGATAAGCCCTGCAGAGAAAAATGTCTTTCCTGGGTCCTGATCCCTGCTCTCCGATGGGGACCCGAGGCTGAGGCTCAACCTGAGCTGCTGAGCACCAAGGAGCTCAGCAACTTCCACGTGTCTGTAAACGATGCCAGGCCATGCCCAGACCCCTGTGAGGTTCAACTCCAGAAACTGAACATTTCAGGGGCTGGCTCAGGCAGGTTTCCCTCCCGGGAAAGGTCTTCTCGCCACGGATGCTTCAGAGCATGAAGTGTAAGAAAAAAGCAGAGTGTTTTCATCCCTCTGGAGCCTCCAGCCTTCCCTGTCTGGTGACACAGGCTCAGAAATGGGTTATTTTGTGCCTGGGATGGCTGCTGAGTCCCCAGGTGCTCTGCACAACACCCCCAGCTCCACACAGGGGTACTCACCTCCGTTGTCGGTCCGTTTCAGGGCTCCATCTTTGTGGGGACACAGTTCACATCTCTTGAAACGAAGCAGAAACAACAAGTTTAATCTCAGTCCCAGCGGCGCGGGGCCAGAGAAAGAGATGATTCATTTACAACGTGGTTATGAAAGATAGGGCTGCTTTCAAAGAGAGGAAGTGGAAGAAGGGCTGAGAGCAGTTTGGCTATGAAAAGATACTCTGACACAGCTCGATCTTGTCCTGTCTGACGGGGACACACTCAAAGCCTCAGCCCAAGAGCAACAGGGCAACAAGCAAACCTTGACTTTCACAGGGCTTTTTAAAGAAGAAAAAAGCTCTAGCCTTTGTGGTTGGGGAGTAAAACTGAAAACCATGACTCAGAGAGCAGAAGGAAAATAAAAAGAAGCCATGATCTGCCTTTGCCTCTTTCCTTCCTTTCTTCTCTCTTACTCTTGCAATGTTTTTTCCAGGCTCACAAGGCTGACGTGGCACTTTTGCCTGCAGGACTGGTGGGTGGGCACCCTGCTTCCCCCCAAACCAGCCCCAGGGAGGGCAGAGGTGGGGCAGGGAGGGCACGAGGAGAGTCCCTGCTGCCCACAGGGGCAGAGGAAGCTGCCTCGGCGCTGCCGTGTTGGGTAGGAGGCTGCACCCACCAAGTGCCCCCCATGATGGGCAGGAATGAGCTTCAACCTCTCGTCACACACCCCCCGTGAGGGGACAGGGAATGTCCAGCCAGGAAAGATGGAGAGAGCCATGGAAACCCAGCACCTTGCTGCCCTTGCTGCCATTCCTTGCCTCGCAGGGCCCTGTCCTTGATTTTCCTCCCTCCCTCCCTAATTTGGGCTCCATGTTGGCTGATCTGATCCCCCCAGGAGGGCTCTTCCCCCACCATGATGCCCTTCAGAGGGGAACAAATTCCCAGCCCTGAGGGTTCCTCCCAAGCTGAGCTGCCTGAAAATGGTCACTGTCTTCTCCTGGCATCACCCAGGGTAAGTTTTCTATCTGCTTTTTGTTTTGTTTTGCCTTCTTTAAAAGGCCTGAAAACCTGCAAGGTGTGACCCTTTTCCTTCCCTCGTGGAAACACCTGATTTGTTAGAAAAACAAAAACAACCAGGAAACAACAACCAAAAAAAAAGCCACGAAAAAATAAAAATAATAATAAAAAAGCACCCTGTTTTTCTGTGAAAAAAAAATGTGCTTGGTCAGAAAGTTTTGAAATGAGGTGTCTGTTGTTGAAGCAAGAGGACGGGCTGTGCTGCTGTGGCTGTGCCTGGTGCTCCTGCTTCGCTGCCATCGAGCCCAACAGGTGCTCCACAACCCCAACACACCAAGGGACTGAGCAAAAACCGGCCCTGAGCAAAAGCCTCTGCCACTGAGGAGCCCCCGAGGACCTTCCACAGAGCTGGTTTGCCACAAGCAAGCTCAAGGTTTCCTCTGCTCCTCCCGAAGAGGCAGAATGCAGAGCACTGCAGGGAGCAGGGAGGTCCAGCCTCATCCTCCAACATGTTATGGGAGTCAAGTCAAACAGGCACCTTTAGCAAGCACAAAATCCTTGTGATCATGTGTAAATAAGGGATGAGGGGACAAAAACCAGTGTTGTTGTGGTCGGCCCATCTCACTGTCCCTGCAACGTGGTTTGAAGTTGGGCTGGGTGAGCACGGGAGGTGCTTCTCACTGCTCCTGCTCAGGTCCAGGCTGCCAGGGCTGCTCTCACAATGACTGTGGAAAGCCTGGCAGAGCCAAGACAGAAAAAGAACTGGGTTAACCGAGACACTGGAGTGAGAAATTTGCACTTGAAAAGGCCCCTCCGCTCTCCCTCCACCCCTCAGATCAAAGCGGCTCTCCCACCACGCGATTAGCAGAGCTCTGATTGCAACAAGAGGGGTTAACAGCTCCATCGGCCCCACACAAGACTTTTAATAGCCCTGCCTCGAAATGACAGCTAAAGCCTTCACATGATCCCTCACATGAGTGCCCTCTGGCCATTGCAGCTCACCGGGCTTCCTAGACAATTTGATTACAAAGTGGATGGGCTTTCAGTTGCTCACTGTAAGCACAATAGTCCACAGCATCCTCTGGGGACCTGAGCAGCTGAGGAGGGGTTATGAGCAGGGATTAGTGCTACCTCTTCCTTTTATTCAACCTGCACGGACCATGGCAGCCTCTGAGGGTTTTATTTCAACTCTGGGAAAAGAGCAGGGCTTGGTTGATGGGTAAGGTTGGATGTGGTGGCTGTGATGGGTAAGGTTAGAGCTCCTGACCCCCTGGGGCTTCTAACTCTGGGATCTACCATAAAGCTACTGCAGGGAGGGCTCCTGAGCTCTTTTCAAAGAGGGGATGGAATCCACCTCTCCCAAGGAGTGACACAGAAAGCAGGAGACCCATGTTTTATAAAACTCACTCAGCACAACATTCTTTGTGCCTCTGTATCTCATTTGCAAAGTATAAGTATCAATATTTAGCCAATAAATCATGTTTGTTATGGACAAAGCTTATAAACTGCTTTAAGATCCTTCTGTGAAGGCAGATGTGGGAAGAAAAATATTGCTGCTTTTCAGGGGAGTTTGCCACACAGATATTATGAAAGAAACACAATGATCAATTCACCCTGCTGCTGTTGGTGGTGCATCTCAAACAGCAGCATCTCTCCTTCAGGATCCTCAAGGCAGTGTCTGCAGGTTGATAATGCTGCTTTTACAGCCAGAGAAAGCCAGGCCCAGTGAAAGCCCAGGGCAGGGGAAGGGTCCAGCCTCGCTGGACCACGGAGCACAAACTCCAAGTGTCTCAGCAGCAGAGCCATGCACAGATCTCCTGACTCATTTCCCTTCCTCTGATCGTGCTGCTCTCTACATCAAAGAACAAGATTCTCTTTAAGTATTTATCCATCCGCGTGTCTGTTGCTATGACTGCTGGAGTTGAACTGAAAAGGTGAGGGATTTGGATGGGAAATCATCCCCAGCTCTGCTGAGGAAGGAAGATTATCACTGTTTAGGGATGGGAGAGGCAGGGCTGAATGCCAGGGGACTGAATGGCAGGGCCCACCACGCATTGCTGAACAGATTTTGCTGGGGGGAGTTAAACAAGAAGCCACCTGCAGGGATATTGTTTCCTGGGAGGCAGTTGGAAGAGTACAACGTGGAAGTGAAAAGCTACAGTCCTTGCAGTGAGCACAGGTGAGGAGGACTTGTGTGTACTTGTAGCACCACAGCTTGCACTGAGTTGTAGCTCAGGCTGAAGAGCTTCCCCTGCCTGCACAGCTGGGAGAGCAGGGGAAGGAGACTCATGAAACCCAAATTCCTTTCTTTGCTATGGAACTATCTGCAGGATGTAAAACCACTCAAAGACACATTTGATCTTCTGTACTGCAGCTTTTATGCAGCTTTTCTTAAAAGCAGCATCTCACAATGGGAGAAGAGCTCAGGTCTGAAAGTCTGGTCTTGTTTACACTCCCACTTCCTGTGAGGAATGAGTGAATGCCATGGAGAAAGGTTGGCACAGACACCTCACTGCCCCATTTGCTCATCTTTGCCAAGTTCTTTGCCCATCTGTGCAACAGATGAAACTTCAGCACTGCAGCAGGAGAGTGCCCAGCGAGCTGGAGCTCCAGAGGTCACCTACACCAGCTGTGTGCTTCAGAAAACATTTAGCTAAACCAGTTCAGAAGGCAGTGCAGGCAGGAATAGATGTTGTTTGTGCTGACTGAGGCTTTCTGTATTTAAAGAAAGCCAAAGTTTAACCTAAATCTGTGTTTAAGGAAGCAAGAGGAGGAAGCTCTCCTGGCTTTACTGTGTGGCAAAAGCAGCACCCATGGCATAACTAGTGTGTTAAAGATCTACACCCCAGCACCTCAGCAGCTGGTTGGTGCAGCCCTATCTGATAAGGGCAGACATGGGAAGTTACTGCAGAGTAGCTGCTGTGCTATAAACTCACAGCCTCGTTTCCTGCACAAGTAACTTTGCCACAGACAGACCTCAGAGGCAGCCCTGGCCTGATTGTTTCCACTTTCCTGCCTCACCGGGAAAAGCCAGAATTAATTAAGAACATTTGTAAAATGTTCTAGACTGCTAAATTGTGGCTTAGAAACCCTGGTCCAGCTTCCTGTCATTTTCTCTGCTGTCACAAACTCAGCAGGCTTCAGGCAGGGGACTGTTGCTACGAGATGTGAACGCCCATCCATCCTGTCAGTCACCACGATACTGAGCAAAGCAGCATCTCAGGTGATGCCAACTTCCCTCCTCTCCAAACCTGCCCAAGGAGTTGAACAACAACACAAAAAAAACAGTAGGAAAACTGCCTTTTAGAAAAAATCCTTTTTTTTTTTTTTTAAGATTGAGGTCTCTAGGCTCAAAAAATTTGGCATCAATAACTTGCTTAAAAGCACCTCTGGCAGCATCTTCACCACAAGGGCCAATGTATGAAATTGCCTGCCACAATTATTCCTGTTGTATGAACAAGATGCAGGAGGTCACAGGCAGAGCTGTGATTACAATCCCAGGCTCTGTTGCTTTTGCCAGGGGACCACACCAGCTTCAGCAGAGCCATGGGGGGGTGGGAGGAAGGACCCAGTGGCAGCACCACGGGCTCTGTACTCACCACCCGGGCGGCTCTCTCCTGAGATTCACATTTCCGACAGAACCAGGGGCCAGTGGGAACCTGGACAATTCCATAGCAAGCTGGAAGAAAAGCAAAGAGAGTTTATTAGACCATCTTTAAGGCAGCTGTTTAATTTCTGAGGTGTATATAAAAGTTGCCCAGGGCTGTTCTTGGTGAGAGATGGGTGACAAAACCAACCATTACATCTCCTCCTCATTTTACTCCCCTCTCTAGTTCCCACGTCCAGCAGCAGCAGCCAGACTTGGAAAGAGCTCCAGCCTTAGACATTTATTCAAGTTTTCAAATAAGCTCATGCCCAGTATGAACAATTCCTTTGAAAATCTGGCCTAATGGGAATCAAGTGCTACATAAACCGTGTCTCATTCTGCTCTAGCAAACACAGGAGCAATTTCTTACCCTTAACTTTCCAAGTGTCACTTGTGACCCAAATATAAACCCCTGGACTGGCTGGCTATGAAGCATCTTCACCATCATTAGGACTAAGGTAAAATCTCAGCATCACGAAGGAAATCCTCTCAGTGAGAGTTCAGGCAGACCAAGAGAAACCCCCATTCATGCTGCACACCCTCAGGTCTGCAAGTCACATCCAGCTTTGCAGCTTCCAAGATCATGGAATTCAAGGTTTTTAGGACTGCTCCTGGGAACAGGTTCTGTGTTGATACAAGTCTCCAGCTGATAACCCAACAAAACTCTTGTTTGTTATCCAGCTACACCATGTGTCCCTCTGGCTTTCACCACCACCACTGGTGCTCTCAGGCTCTGCAAGCTGCAGCTCTCACTTAAAATTAGACCCCTTTTCTAACAGGGCAACTTTGCTTGAAGTCTGTTCCCCTTCTTTGGTGATCTCCTCCCTCTAACCATCCACGGATGGTCTGAGTGCCAAAGGAAGCATTTCTGACCCTGAAAGGGCTCTGAGCCACCACGCAGGTGGGATTAAAGCAGCAGAGGCTGATAAAGAGGGTGGTGAGAAGCAAGACTGTACATCTCAGATGAAGGTAGAGGAGTCTCCTAGGAAAGAACAAATTATATCTTCCTTATTCCACCTTCAAATGCGGTTGGAATGGAATCCCAGTCACTCGGGACATTTGAAACTAGGTTGGACAAAGCATCTGAAAATATCCTGCTGGAAGCAATCCTGTGATGCTCCCTGGGGACTGGACCAGCCCCGACCCACCATAGGTTCTCTCCAGCTCCCCAGTGTCTATTATTGCACAGCAGCCAGGAAAACCAGCGAGATTTTGGAGTTAAACCCGAAGAGCTGCCTGCAAGATGAGCCAAGGCACACACGTAAGAAAATAGAAAGTACATGAAAGCAATGCCAGAGGAGCCTGCCCTGGGTCCATCTTTAGCAGTGGGCTCAGGGCCAAAAGCAAGCACTCAGCTGGAGCCAGCATGAGCTGCTGTGCCTGCTGCTTCGGAAGGGAAGAAAACAAGGAAGAAAACAAGGAACACTGCACAGCATAAGCCAGGCAGGGCTGAAAATACGACTTGTAAATGTTCTGAACTACTTAGAGTCTTCACTTCCAACCAGGCATTTTTTTGTTAACATTTTTCATATTTTTTTCCTGGAAAGATAAGATTTCTAACCACAGCCACACCAACTGTACTGATATTTTTAACAACCAGCCCTAATATGCAGCTGTAACATAAGCTTAAAAAAACCCAAAACAAACGGGTTTTTTCTTTAACTGCACCATCATTTCAAAAGCTAACTCTGGTTTTGTGGATAATCAAGCAGCACAAAGAGGTACCAAAGCCACTGTGAGACTGCACGGAATGAGATGAGATGACCCAGATGATCCTTTCCAGTGGTTTGTTTCTGTTTAAGAAATAAAAGCCTACCCAAACACCAGCCCACTGCTGGGCTCACCAGCAGGCTCTGAGAAGAGGGTTGAAGAGCATCCACTACACACTGCTACACTCCTTCTGCATTATTGTATCCTGAAGGACTCTTACAAGACCTAAATAGACAGCTGCACTTCCCAAACACATGAGGTGCCCTCTCTGAGGCTCTTCCAACAGGTTCCAGCCCTGCCACAACAACACTGTGCTCCCACTTCCCAAGCACATCCAGCATCCCTACCTGTGGGGGCCTAGAAACAGGCACCCTGAAAGAATAGAAACGTTGCACACTTGAAACTGTTCTTGCCCATTTGAAACTGTTCCTGCCAGCAAACAAAAGTGCTTGTGTCAATCTTGGGAGTGGGCACAAAGGTGCCAATGCTCTTTCTCTCCTTCCAAGAAAAAGAGAGCGATGAAGAAACCTTTTCTCTAGCAGGTGGTTTGATAAATAATGGGAAGAATGGAAGATTACACACAACTGAAATAGAAAGAAGTGTCCTTCCAGAGAGCCCCTGGTCCTGCTGCTTCACTCAGAGCCACCCTGGAGAGGCTGCTTGATGGCAGGAGACATCCCAGCATCACCTCTGAATGAAGAGAAATCCCCCACCAGCTTCGCTTCCTCATTTTAACTCCCCCCCCTCAGTCACCTGGTTGTAAGGGACTTCCTAAAGCCCTGAGCACGGACCCACCGAGGGCAGGAACAGCAAAAAGAAAAGCCAACGACCTACAGCCCCAGAGCCCCGTGCCTGGCAGGGCAGAGCAGGTCACAGCTGGAGCAGCGAGACCCCCAGAGCAGGGACCGGGCAGGGGGAGGCTGGAGATGTGCGGGTGGATGGGGACGGTAATAATAGATGGAAAACCAGACGAGCCAGCTGAGACCAGACACCTTCGTGTTCTTCAAAACAACCAAACCAGGACCCCCCCCCCCGTGCCTTTCCGCGGGATTTGAAGGAAAGCAAATACATGGGTTTAATTTTTTTTTTATATCTATATTTTGTTGTTGTTGTTGTTCAGAGACCCGAGGAGAAACTTTGCAGCCCGATCCCGTGTGCGAGGGGCGAGCTCCGAGTCATTGAAAATGCAAATCTCCCCTACCCCTTGGGAAGAGGGGGCTGCCTTCCTCCCTGCCCTTGCAGGAGGCAGCTCCGGGCCCCGCCGCCCCCCCG